GGTCAAATATGGTTGTGCAGGTGTATGAACAAGCCCTCGGGCCCAATCAGTTCGTGCCGTTCATCAGCACGTTATGTCTTTGCAGACGCTTTTGTTGCTTCACGCCCCATCCGATCATTTGTTGTGCACCCTTCCTGGTGAATTCAACATCGCATATAAAGTGTTCCGTGAGCTAAACGCTACCATCTACCTTCCCAGGGCCATCAAAGCTGCGGTGAAGGCCCTCGACACTTCCCGGAAGTGAGAGGAGAAGAGAGCGGCGGCGGCGGCGGCAGTGGAAGACGGTGGCAAAGGCGAGGCAGGAACTTAGTTTATTGTTCATAGAGATGTTACTTGCACTACAGGTGTGCCTATGGACGCAAAACGGTGCGAGTTATTGGAGATGTAGAGGCATGGTGCCTAATCCGCATCCAAACCCGGCCGTCAGGCCGGGGCCGGAGGAAAATCCGTACTTTTTTGAGCCAGAGGGCCAAATTTTTGTGCGGATAAAAAGGTCGGGTCAGGCGAAAATCAGGATCAGGCCTCTCCGCCCAATGTCAGGGGTCCTATGAGACTGAGGTGACAGTATCTGAGAGATATTGAAAATCACGCGGGCGCGATTTCGGTCATTCGGGAATCTGATCATTGAGCATTGGTTTTTGTCTAGGTGACCATGTCACACAAGTCTCAAGATACTCCGCATTCGAGAATCTGCCAATATTCTCTGCACTAATGAATCATGAGGCCTGACAGGCCTGACCAGCCGTTTCGGTCGTACGACTACAGCATTGGCCTTAATGAGGTCGGCGACCCTCTCGCCGATAGCGTAACACGGCGCAGCCTGTAAGCCATTACTTCAGCAGCGAAGTCTCACATAGCGCAGGCGGACTGCTCACCGTATGCCCTTAAATGACCTCAGAGAAGATGAACATGTCCGCCGTGCGCAAGTTCAGAGTGTCGTGCACGCGCAGGAGGGGGTCGGCGACGCCCGCGTCCTCGAGCGTGCCGATGCTTCGGTTGAGATCTGGGTGCCCGTCGCCCGCGGGGTCGACCATGACCGTACGAGTTACAGCAGTCCGATCCTCGTAGTCACTGTACAGGGAGTGGGGAAATTAGGGGCGCAGAATTAACAGCGCAAGCGGATGACTCTTTCGCTCGCGCCAACAGCACTCACCGACCATTAAATTGAGCGCATACCAAATCCGCGCTCAAGCATAACAGTGATTGTATATGAACAGCATATAAGTGCACAGTATAAGGGAGAGCACAGAGAGTACAGATCTATCCAATACAGCAAACGCAGAGCGCAGCGTACGTAGCAGTCCGCTCATCATCAAATTCCTTCGTCTCCCTTTCGTCTCACCTTCGTGAACACTTCGTTACCCAGTCGTCAATCTTCGTCACTGTTCGTCCGCCGCACGCCACCAGTGTCGCATCGTCTACGAGTTGAACATCGGTGTCACCCTGCGTGGTACGGGAAGCTGAGGCGACGACGCCACGCTCTGGCTGCGCCTGTGCGGGAGCGGCAGCCGCCGCGCACTGCCCTCGCGCGCAGTCTGGGCCCGACTCGCGGGCTTGCACATCGCCTGTGGCGGCAGGCCGACGATGCGGAAAACGCTATACGGAATCTCGTATCCTGAGCGCGTTGCCGCAGCGATGTACCGTGCAATCTCCAGGTGCAGCGTCGGGTAGTACGTTGTGGACGCCTTGCGCGCAACCTACGGAATCATCAGTGGGTGTTCGAGACGAAGGTGCCCGGTACTCACGAGGATGACGCGGTCAATGCCAGACAGAAACAGATCACAGTGCAGGCGGTACGCAGAGAGCTCATGTTCGCGCGGGACGTTCACCTGCTCTGCAGATGCCGCGACCGCATTGACGAACTTGAAGTGTAGCGTCTTCCCAGCAATCAGTCCCTCTGTTTGTGCACGAAGGAGCTGACAACCCACCATATAAGACATCGCCTCAAACTCGACACCACCAGTCATCCCGCCAGGCGCGCGGGGCTTCTCGACCTTGTCCTCGTCCGTCTCGTCGAGGTTCCAGATGGTATTGTTCGGGTGGCAGAACACCCAGAAGTAGTCGCGGCAGATGTCGTTCAGCTCCTGGAGGTAAGTCTTGTATATGCGCGGCGTATGCAACTCCTCGATGAATGGATGAGGCGAGATCGGCACGCGCGGGTCCTCAGCGGGCGGTGGAGCGGGCGTGAGCAGCAGGGAGCGCACGAGCGAGAACGTCGTCGCATGTGGCGCGGGCAGCGTTACGAGCGAGCTGGGGCCGGGCATGACCTCCCAAGGCACGGAGAGCGAGCGGCCATGGGTGCGTGTGGTGCCATTCGTGTTCGTTGGAACGCCGCCTGTCGATGGGAGCGACGATGGCGGGTACAGGTCGAAGAGGATCAGCAGGAGCCCAACGATGAGTTGTTTTGTGCCGACTTCGCCTGGCCGCTTATCTGAGTAGAGTAAGGTGATGAGTGGTTGGAAGGGTGTGGGGCAGCAGCTACGGAGGGCGACACAGCCGATGGCGGATGTTGAGAGGGCCTTGACGCACCGCAGCAGTTCGTGTAGGATCTGATCATCGTGCTGCTCTTCTCGCCATTCGACGTCAAGAATCTCTTGCAGGCGGAGAAGCAAGGCGTTATAGCCACCCGTCCAGACAAACTCTTCTGTCCAGCTGCGGCGTCGTCGTCGTTAGCGGCGAGCAAGGACGAATTCGACAGATCGGGATTGCGTGCGTACCTGGCGGACTCATTACGCAACATGAGTCGTAACTTCTTAACCACCTCAATGTCCAGCTGCAGACTCGACGCAGACTGGAGCAGGTTGCAGTACCGCCGTGGAGACACCGCAGTCTCCCTGCCTTTATCCTTCTTGCCCTTCTCTTTCGCTGTCTTCTGTTGTTCCGGCTTGGGAGTGCGTGGTACGTCAACGGACTTGCCCCGAGTCGTGCTCTTGGGAGAAGTGGGCTGTGCGTGCTCCGGTAGGAGCGGTGTGGTCATGGTGGAGATGGATTGCGCGCTTTGCGATTTACGGAGGGTGTGAGGTGCCTGCGGGGGCTGCAGTGGTGGGCTGCCCTTGGAGATGGTCTGCGACGACTTAAGCATAGCTGCCTTGACTCCTGATTCTATCCTCGCGAGCTTTGGTCGCAAAACCTCGGGAACTTGTAGCTCATTCTACACAAGGTTTAGCACGCCTCAGCTACGACACGTTGTCGTGCGTACCAGGAGCTGGTCGAACGCCTCCTCCGTCTGTACCAGGTCCATCGCCACTGGGGAGTCTTTGTCTTTTGATTTCTTGAGTTTTGCCCTTGTAGTGTTCATCGGTGACGCAGGATAGTTTTCCTTGTGACTGTCCGCCTGCGCAGTCACCATGAGGAAGTCCGTATCCGAGAGCTTCCTCGACGGCAAGATGCTTTTGAACATCGTGATTGATTGTGCTCTCACTGTCAAGTCTGGAAAGGGTGCAGTATAGGGGCTGGAGAGAATTGGAGAAGACGACGGAGAGAGAAGATGTTGGTCTCGGAAACCTGAACTGGGGCCAAACACAAGGCCAAACAACGCGCCCATTTAGCGTGCTCGGCCCCGCCACGTGACGGCGTTTCCCCGCCGTCGATAAGCCCGATACGCCTCGATTTTATCACCATGAGGCCGAAAAGAAACCCGCGAAGTTGTTTTACCCAGTTCTTTGGAATGTGCCCTAAGACATAATTTGCATTCGATGACCTGCCGCGCACTAAAGTCGTGCCTCTCCCGGCGGCATACTCAATACACGTGCAGGACAGACCATCAAAGAGGCAGGAAATATTTCCTTATGAGCGATACAAATGCTCAGGAAGTATCCAAGGGCCCTCGTGGCCATAAAAACAAAAGCATGTAGCGACGCGACGTCCGGCAAGACGTTACCGAACGTAAGGCCAAACTGCCAAACCATATCGTCGACTGACTACAACCAATTCTACATGTCCACCATGCACGCTGGCGGAAGTTATCTGTACCACATCAGCCTGACTCATGATGCGTCCTTGAGTCGAACACAGAAACATCTTAAGAGAACGAGACTGAAGCCAGTGTTCCTTTGGGCATCCCAAATCTACCAGCACCCCGAGGCCCGTGCATATCCTCGGGCTAGGATGGCTCTTCCAAATGATCTTCCCAATTGTCAAGCGCAACTGAGATAATAATAAATCGGATAGACTGGCCTTACGACGCGCATTGTAGCCCCGGCGTTGTCAGCGAGCTGCTCATTCGATTGTCATGAAACCAAGACATTAAATGCTCCAGGGCAAGGTTTCGCTCAGTCAACGAAGCGAAAAATGATGGCCACTTTCCGAAGGAAGCGCTGCCACGCATTAATTTCCGCCCTCGCGACTCGTATGTCGTTCATTCTGGTGGGACGTCTATGCAAGAGGAAAGGGTAGCCGTGGCCTCAGAAGCTCAGTTTGAGTGCGGACCCCGTACACCCGCTCACTGAGTTTTGCGCGCTTATTTTTTGGTAAACACAGCCTTGCTTCTTAGCTCGAGGGCCCGGGCCAGATGCTACTCTGAGACGCTGATACTACAAGTCTTGCGTAAACGGGCTACGTGCTTTCGCTCTGTGAACAGACGGCTTATCTCGTCAGGGTAGTTATTAAGCTCTCCTAAAGAATTCACTGTCGTCCTTGACAACGAAACGCTCTACCTCCCGCAGTCTGTGGCGGAAGCTCTGGGATGGAGCCTTGACGTGGGCTGTACTGAAGGTGTTCCGCTGACACTGAGCGGATGGGCACCTAATTATTTTGCCATTGCTCGAAGCGGTACTGACAGCGGTATGTTTTGATAAGCCGCTAGCTCTGCGGCAGTAGTGCTTACACCTTACGTACAGATCAACTTGCGCGCAGGACAATAGAGAGTAGTCAAGACTTATCTGTTAAGGGGGTCGTTGATTATTTAAAGGATAAATGAGTCGATAAAAGTGCGTTTGACCCTCTGTGCCACGGCCCAGTTATTTCAAATTCTCGTGTGCATGGGCCCGAAGAACTTCTTATTCAACGCATGTACACAGTGTCTACTTCAGAATACATCCAGCATAGCGATCGTCGCAGAAACAAATACGGTACCCAGCGAGGATTGGTTCACTTAAACGGGCATCGCATTGGATGCAGAGGTGTTACTTCTACCATGGCTCTCCACATCTTCAGTTTTGCCGACAGAAATATCGAAATCAGAGAGATCGCTGGGCCCTACAACAACGTTACAGGCTGTAGCTCGCCGCATGTTCAGAATGAAGCGCGAGACAAGGACGGACGTCAAGCTAAATGGAGTCAGTTCCGGATTAGGTCGCGAGTACTCATCAACTTACGCGCATATGAAGAATATCGTGAATGGCTGCTCCTGGTGTTGCGAAAGCGCGAATCAGCTGCTCGAACGTGATAGCAAGCTACTAAATGCGTACGATTACGAAAGAGAAAATTAGGCGCAGATGTTCAATGCCAGAACAGCCCTGTCAAGACATGTGAGTACCTAGCAAAGCAAGATGAGTAGCGTAGGAACTTGAGTACACACGCAAAGTAGATACTACCTGTGTATAGATCGTTGGATGCTGAGTTTGGAGAAGTTTCGCATTGATAATCAGTGCTCACCATCCCGAATGAAAACAGTAGTGAGCGGGACCTTGTTGCGCGACGCGGCAGCATCCCTCAGTGTTGTCCACGTCTTGGTCACTGTTACCGTGATGACGATGGAGTCAGATAGGATTGTGCATGCACGTGCCACGGATACCACTGGAAAGGCACGTCAGACTGGATATGTGGATTTTGAGCCCGAGAACATACTTCTATAGCAGGAAATGGTAAGCACAGGCGTAGGCAAGGTAATTCGTAGAGACTTACCCTGTCTGTATTTGTCTGGATAAGGGCTGAACGGCCTGACACCCTGTTATATATAGAGAAGGTGGAAGAAAACTTTCTGCGGCGTATTGATACTATGGTCATGCAACCTCAGTGTAATGCATTAGGATGGATATAGACCCACTTACTACATTCATAACAACAGGCACAATGTTCAAGGCTAAGATAAATAAGGGGAGCACCTTACTGCGACCGGCGTATAGAAAGTAGATTCGCGCAGCCGAGCATACTGTTCATTGATCAATAAAAAACGAATGCGGCGTGTTCAGCGAAAGGCGTACTGCCAAAGATCAGAACCAACAGGGCCATTATGGTCTGTGTTATTCTTGGTGTGATCTCGCAGCTGGATTGTATCAGCGGATGTCGACTACAGGAAGTATAGGACAAATATACCTCTGTCAGCATGTAAAATGTCAGATTAATCCTGACTGCGAGTGCGGGAGAAGATGTGACCCACTCTTGAGCTGGCAAGATAGTTGGAGATCCCCAGCAGCAAACCGTAGGCGAGGGCGCTGTAACGATTAATAGCGAATAGCAGCGTGAGGATATTGAATCGATGCTGCCAAATAAGCTGAATCTCATCGAGGAAGGTTACAGCATGCTCGTAGAGTATAAACGCTGCATAACTATCAGATCCCGTATAAAGACAGTTGCGGTGGGTTGCCCCTACCGAGCATGGCCATGTTGACATTTGACTGGGTAGTGCTAGAGACAGTTGAGCCGGTATCCAAAGGATTATATCCGGTGCCCAACTTGCCTTCCCTGAACGAGAGCGATGACAGCAGCAGAGACCATTGTGAACAGTAGCCGGCACTTATTGACTGCTGTCTGCAACTGGTCGGGATACACTCGACGGTGAACTCCCAGGACTTTCGCCCGCTTACGCGTATTTTATACCACGTAACTGCGAGGCGCATCTCGAGTAGTGATATTCATGCGCGCGCGGAATTCTCTTGATAAGAGCACATCGCCGCCAACAGCCACTGCAGCGTGCATGGCGGGATTCAAAGACAGAGTGCTCTTGCTTCGCGGATAGAGGCGCTCTCGTAGCGTGCCGACGCAGGATCTAACTCGGACTCCGGAATTGCCGAGCTGCTTCCATCGTTATGCGTGGTATCAAATCATGTGTTTCGTGACTGGTGGGGGAGGTATAGGATCATCTGGAAGAAGAAAGGTCTTGTTGCACATGCATTACATATGCGCGCAGCACCAACGGAGAACGAGTTCAGACACGCAGGACGATCTTCAGCACCAGTTATGGATGAGAAATTGGTACCGATCCTGTCGGAGCCTGTTGAAATGGACAGGAGATCAGTTCACGCCTAGATGATTGCCCTATAATGAATAGGAACGACGTCCGTACCGATGGACCCTAATAACCACTTCATAGCCTTCTGGAATTCGCCCGGCGTCCTATGATACAGCCTAGAGCCATGTTCAATCAGGGTATAGTACAAAGACAAATAGGCTTGTCAGTGGTGGATTACCTGTGCTTCGATACAACATGCCAGGACCACAAAGCTTCCCGGGCGTGTACATAGCGTAAATCATTGCGGTAGATATGGGTGAATCGGTACGAGCCGCTAGCTACTCCGCAGGTTTCGATACGGTTCAGCTATGTATATAGCTACCGGCTGACCACGGAGCTCGGCGGTCGCCCCAGAACTAGACTCTCAAGTACCACGACCTTGGTGGTGGGGACCGTACCGAAGACAAATCTAAACGAGCAAGCTTAGCATGCTCGTTGCAACAGCGCACAGGTTGGGCGCATCAGTCAGGATAATGCACAAGAGAGCTGACTGTTCATCACCCCCACGGCTGTCAGCCTGCCTAGGGTTAAAAGAAGTTAGAGATGGAAATTAACAGTGAGAGCTGATAAAGGGACTGGAGCATGCACAACCAGATAAGAGACATCACGCACGGCTGCAATCTCTAGGATACTAACTTGCCGGTAATAGCGCAAAGCATACGCCATGCGCATTACCATGCAACGGGTCATGAACATATCGGTGATAAGCTGGCGAGGCACCCGCTCATTCTACCACGAACTTTAACCTAAGTACAGGGCAAGAAGCTGTCACAATGTGAATTTCCGGCCAAGAAAGCGATGTACTTCGGGTGATATCTGATGGAAGCTTGAGGGTCGATATGATCGGTCTCAAGAAATCTGTCCCTGGCCCGTCACAGTTCCGCTCAGGCGGAGTGCCGCTGAGAGAAGAGATTATGCACGCAGTTGATTGAGCGGTCCTATCTAGATGAAGATCCCTCGACTTTTGAGAATGCCTTTCCAGCTCGACGCAATGTAACTCGCGAACTGTACGGTATCGTCAACCGCTCCTTTTAGCTGAGAGGACCTTGCGAGGAGGTCATCTAGAAAGGCGTCCACCGTATGCGGAGACTGGATTTGATGCAGTTCTGGAGGGAAACATCTTGTTACTGCCCGCAGAGCTCACTTGACACATAAGAAGGGTTACCTGCAGCGGCGTACACCGCAGCGAGCGATGCTCTGCGAGCATACCACTCAGTCTACGAGACGTCAGAGCGCAGAATTAATTGAGATAACTTGACACATACTCCGACTGCCTTGTCGCCTGTTACAGCGCAAGCGTCGTCAGCAATTGAGGTAGTGTGCTTCAAGGCTGGGCGTGGGTCAAGAATGTGACCCGGAGGCGAAGCAAGGACAGCGAAAGCCTTTGTTCAAGTGCTTCAGACACATCAGTTTTGTTTAAAAGTTGACCACACACCTCCGGGAGAAGTGATATAACTGGTTCGTTATAGCGCAGTCGCGTTCGCAAGACCTCTTTCATCGCGTTATCAGAGACGGTCGCCGACGCTCTCATCTGAGTGCGGCCTTCATCAAGCCATGCGTTTATGAGAGTGCGCCTTGCGTCGTCCCCTTCACCGAATAATGCAGAGACAGCGGTGTCCCGCAGCGGCTCTGTGTGAGGGTTTGGTAGTGCGAGTACGGAACGCGACAGCGCATCACGAGTGAATCCGTGCGCGCGAACGAGAGGCAACGCAAGCTTTAGCAGTTCATTCCTAGGGAAATTTATAGATGTTAAAGTGATTTAAGAACTGCAAAGGTGAATATACCTCACGGCAGTCATGGAGGTAATACTTGAGGCCTTGAGGCCTTGACTCAGAGTCCTCGACCCGTGGCATCCGGTTCGCGCTGCGGAGATCAAAAGCTTTTGATCTGCTTAATCTAATATCCTGAACCGATCCAGCCAATTTATCTGGCGTCTGACTTTGCATTTCTTTCATCGTCCACACATCGTCGCGTCCATTGCCCACCTTTCGGAATGTCTGACTGGGGTATATTCAGCAAATATTGGCCTCCAATACCACAGAGCTTACAGACTCAGGGATTTAGAGAACTCCGACAGCGAACCTGCCGCTGCGCCTTCTGCACCTGCAGCCAAGAAGCCTGTACCAGTGAAGAGCAAATGGAAGGGCGAGGACGAGGACGGCGACGCCCCTGTCGTGCGTAATCATAACTCTAGACATTTAATTCATCATGCACATACAGTATTCTTGCTAGAGTGACTGGGAGGCAGAGTCTAGCGAAGACGAAGAGAAGAAGCCCGCGCCGGCTACGGCGGCTCCCCCAAAGAAGAAGGGAACACTGAAGGCGAAGCTCGCGGAGAAGGCTGCAGCTAAGGCTGCAGCAGATGATGATGATGAGTATGATGAGGATGCTGTACTGGACCCACGAGAGAAGTTGCGGCGAGACCGCGAACGCGAGCTCCAGGCCGACTTGAGTAACGCAGCCGACCTCATGGGTGCCGCCGCGCTGGGAGGTGCATTTCCCCCCTTCGCGTATTGTGAAAAGACAATACTCAATCGTTACTCAGGCACCTCTAATAAGGAGCTTGACTCCCTGATATCCGCGCAACCACGGACGAAGGAGGATTTCATCGATCTCTCAAACAAGATTATCGAGTTTATTATCAAGAGGCATCAGGCGAAGCCTTTATACCCTACCTTCGTCGAACACTTCGTCCGTGAACTTGCGCAGCCCTTGCGAGACGTCGAGGTTCGAAAGGCTGCTAGTGGTCTAACGACCCTTGCAAATGAGAAGCAGAAGGAACAGAGGGAGGCGGCGTCCGGCAAGAAGAAGCCTAAAGCTACCACTAAGCCTGCGCTTGGAGGAGCCAAGGTTACGAGCAAGTGCGTGTGCCCTGTTCCTCTCTTATCGTTGAATCGGTTTACTGAGACATCTCAGGTTGGACACCAACATCTACGAAGAGGCACTAGATGATTTCGGAAGCAACGCAGACGATTTCATGTAGATCATGTATATCGTCGCCATATCCTAATGTACACTGCTTAACCCTTACAGGACCAACTTTACGTGGAGTATTCACTTGGCGATAGAGAACCAGCGGTACGTAGCCTGTGCTGCATGATGCAGGCAAAGCGTGGACGCAGGTTGTTCACAACCCACACTCCACCGGCGACCGCAAAACATTGAAGGCAGCTGCGACGCAAAGAGTCTGCGAATACAGATCCGTGCATCATCACAAAAAATACGCATACTACACACGGCGACGATAGGCCTTCCGCTTTTGCTGCACACATTCGGCAAATGCAAACAAGGAGTGACTTCGGTCTGTTCTTTGCCGAGGGTGACGGGACTACTCGCGCCGGTACCAGCGTTCTTAACTCTCAGACCCCAAAGCCACGGCCATCCTCAACATCAACATGTCTTGCATGAACCAGAATCTTGCCATGGTGCGTAACATACGCCGGAGTTGCTCCAGCGCCGAGCGCGGTCACTACTGTCGAAAGATAGGCACAACTAAAGACACGGACGAATGCGTAGATCTCAGTGATACGACGGCGCGAAGCAATGTTTACTAAGTAACGTACAGTTCGAATCGCATCTGCGATGTGTATCTAGGCCGCCGCCTGACAGCTTGGCCAACGCGCAAAAGCATCAGAGACGCGGGAGAGGCCAAAAGCATACCTGGGAGCCGCGAAGACCGGTCTGAAGTGCTGAGTAGCTCTTCAGAACGGCTTATCGTCCCGGGATGTACACGCCGCAGAAGTCTTGATTATGTTATGCTGTAGTTATAAAGTGAAACATCGTCACTCGTATTGTTTATAAGGTCAAAGAGTTCATACAGCTAGAAACACATCGTAAAGCGCAAGCGAACTGTCCAGCTTCAGCAGCAAGGGTAAACGGTCAGGCAGCAGCAATGCCAGTTGCAGCGGAGACTGCGACTGCAACGGCAGCACTTTCTGGAGCATTAAGCACCTTGTCGGCAACAGTCGAAGCTGTGGCAGCAGCTGATGTAGTTGCAGAAGACACCGCCACCGCCACCGCCTGAGCAGTAGATTCAGCTGCAGGAGGAGAAGGGGCCGTCTTAGCCTTCTTTTTCTTCTTTAGAAGACCTGCGGGCCTGTCAACACGGTACTGCATACGAAACATGGGTCAACGTACCCGCGGCAACCGCTGATTTCACATTATCCACAATCTCCTGGTGTTCAATAAGGAATTCGCCGTCATCTAACCGATGCTTCTTGCCCGCCAGTGGCTCGGAGGATCCGGAGGAGCTTTTAGCGTCCATGCCTAGTTTGCGTTCCAAAGCCTCCAGCTTCGCTCGCTTTGCCTCCTTCTCCGCTTGCTTGCGAAGAGGTTCACTCTCGATGTACTCCGCGAGTCTATTGGACCAGAGTTAGTTACAAAGCGCAGTGCTAAGAGGCAGCTGCACGCACTTTTTGGCTTCCTTGATAGTGCTTAGTCTTCGGCCGCTCAGATCACGACATGAATCGTTATTGCTCGTCTTCTGGCTGCTCATGCGCCCACCAGCAGCACGCAGCTGAGAGCCGAAACCACCCTTTCCGCCGCGAAGCCGGGGGATCAGACGAAGCGTCACCAGGCCACTGTCAACATCATCGAGCAACGACGCAACCGATGTTTCAGGCGAAGGGATTGGACCAGAGTGTGGGGTAAAGAGGAGGTCGAGCTCGGACAAATCTTTGCGAGGCAGGTGTTGGTAGCGTTCGGTGAGGAGGTCATAGAGATCCGCGAAGCAGGTGTCTGCGGGGGCAGAGATGCTCAAAGTCGGGAAAGGAGGGAATGCAGAGACAAGTACTGATATTGACATTGCAGTGGACGTGATGCAGCGTAGACGACTTTGGCTTCGCAGGTGGGGCGGTGACCGAGTAAAGTAGAGAACGAGGATAGAGAACGAAGAGCGCCGGCAGCCGCACTTTAATAAGCGCCCTAGTAGTATTCTCCTCCATTCTTTTGTGCTGCTCGTTTTCGGACGCCTCCAGATCTGATTATACACATGTAAGGATGGTATATGCGCTATCCATGGATTTGTAACGAGGCCTCTTAGATCTTGTAACCATGCCTCGAAAAAGCGATACTGGCACCGAGAGCACATCTTCAGCCATGCATTCTCCTTATTTGAAAATTTTAATTAAATGTAGATCTGCGAAGATTGCACGCATGGTTATTTTAATGAATTTTCTAGACATATTCGTTGCGCTACATGGTGACAACTATTTGGGCTGCTTGGGGCGTCCGATGAAGAGCGCCTAGCCTCTTAGGTCTTCTATCTCGGAGTAGGCTCTCTATCTCGTAGGGTACTATGGGTAGGCTCGACGATACCCGGCGCGGAATACTTCGCAAGGCCATTCCGGCGCACTGACCACCATCCCACCCTCGGTATGCGACTGCGCCCCTACCACTGCTAAGCGCGCAGCGCAGCACGTGGCAGCATGACGCGCTCAACGGAGGAGCAACCTAGTTTGGCTTTCCGCTCAACGTTATTCCCACACCTCGAGCTGCCGGACGACATATACAACTTGGACGTCCTCAACGACCTGAGATTGTGAGTGTTTGCAAGGGCCGAAAATATCTCACATTCTCAACATGACAATCTTAGTCGCAATGCCGCCGGCTGTGGTACAATACGCTATCCAGGGCATGCCGCCCTCGCTGCAATGGCCGGTGAAAACGTGCATATACACAACAGCTACATGCTATGTCTTGTCAATCATAACCGGGAACGTCTCGCAAGTTGACCGCATATGGACGTTCATGCCAACCATCTATACGGCATACTTCGCTTTGCTGCCACTCTGGCCACGAGAGTCGCCGTTGCCCCTGTTCCCCTTCACGCCGAAGGGCGTTCATCTCAGCATTGCGACGCACTGGAACCCCAGAACACTGCTTATGTTTGCACTGCAGGTGAGGTCATACGCCAAGGGTGATACAGAGGTTATGCTAAGCTTTTCAAGTTCGTCTGGATGTGCAGACTCTCCTATAACACTTGGAGACGGGGCCTGTTTAGCCTGTACGACCATCTGCCACATCTCCTGACATTAGATCGTACTAACGTCGAATGAATTAGTCACGAGGAAGACTATCGGTGGGCCATCCTGCGACGCAAGGTTCCATCCTGGTTATTCCAGGTAGTCAACTTAACATTCATAGGTATGCATATATGCGTCTCAGGTCGTAGATTGCTTTAATATAGCATCCGCTACAGCCATCATTCAAAATATCATCCTCTTTGTCTTGGCGATTCCTACATATATCGCGGTGTTCCAGGAACCCACCTGTCTCAGCACGTCCGATTACGTCCTTGGCGCGCTCTCGCTCACCGATCTCGCGCTGGAATTTGTTGCTGATAATCAGCAGTACTCCTTCCAGACGTACAAGCATACTGGCGTTGTGGAGACAAATCCCTGGCCTGGCGCGAACATCAAATGGACACCCGCTGAGGTAAAGCGCGGGTTCGTCACCAGGGGCCTCTGGGCATGGTCAAGACACCCCAACTTCCTGTGCGAGCAGAGCTTTTGGGTGAATATATCTTGCATTGCCGCAGTCTGTTCTCCATGCTAACCCAAGGCAGGTTCTCATGACCCTCTTCCCGATCCTGGCACCCGAGTCGCCAGCATTCGAGGCGCGCGGGAGCACACCTTGGACGTCGCTTCTCCCTCTCACACCCGCGCTCGTCTTGTGCATGCTCTTCTTCTCATCAACTCTCTTCACGGAGTCGATCTCGTACACGAAATATCCCAAGGCATACGGCGCTTACCAACAGCGCGTCGCGATGTTCGTGCCATTCTTGACTCCAGTGTGGGGCTTCTTCCTGCAGCTGCAGGGAAAGAAAGCGGATGTGGATGCGCTGCTGTTTGGCCACGATGTTAAGCTCGTGGAGGAGAAAACCAAAATCGATTGAAAGGAGAGCATGCTTTTCGAACCTGTTAAGCTCCATATTCTTTACAGATTTCCGAAATGTTTTTCGTGCACTCACGATTGAGCATGTGGATTGGTGTTGTACAATTTTCCTTCTTTTCTTTGTGTAGTAAGACTCGAATAATATCATGGCAGCACGCCAATTCCCCCGTACCTCCTCACGACCCCGTCATCTCCCGCAGTCCACACCGTTCCCGGTGCTGGACCAACTCTTACGCTGCGTACTGCATCACAGTCCGTGCCAATGAGCTCCACTAGGACTGAGGGTCCCTCGGGTCTGACATGGGCGACGTATGGTAGACCGTCTTCAGCTGCTATTACCAAGCCGACTTCGGTGTTTCCCGCGGTTTGTGAGAGCGAGATAAACGCAAGGTCCTCGATGGACGCGCCGTTCCGCTGGAAGGCTACCAATGGCACACTGAGCGACCGCGTGTCGTAGACGTTCACGACGCCTGACCCAGAGCCGGCTGCGACAAGGTTGTGTGCCGGCGAGTACGATATCGAATTCAACGGCGCGCCGGAGCCGACCACCTGGGAGTGGAACATAGATAGCTTCGTCCCGAGGTCGAATACCTGGAACGTCCCGTTCGAAAGCGCGGCGAACACGACTTTATCCGTTGTCTCGACCTCGCGGGGGTCGAGTGACACAGGCGTCGCGCCCGCCTCGCCATCGGGTGGCGCAACGAATGCGCCTTCACCGCGCTCGCCGAAGCTCATTGCGAGCACGGGTTTGAAGCCCGCGGCGCCCATCATCCGGATCTGCGCCCCCGAGGAGACGTCCCAAAGCCGGAGCGTCCCATCCTTCGCGCCCGAGAGGATCGTGCGTCCGCGTGCGACGATGCCCGTTGCGGTTATTGCGTGGGTGTGGCCCTTGAGGGTTCGCGCGGGGGAGATGCGTACGGGCTCGGAGGAGGGAGGGGCAGAGGGCGTCGTCGGCTCGGCAGGGAGGATGTTCAGAGCGAAGTCGCCACCTGCGGTGAGCAGCACGCGGGAGGAAGGGAAGAAACGGACGGAGTTTACTGTGCTGAGGTGGGATTTGCGTGCCAGCTTTGGAGGCGCGGTAGGGGAGGTCGCGGAGATGATGTATACAGAGCCGTCATCGTAGCCTGTAGCAAATTGGGAGCCATCAGGAGCGATATCGAAGGCTGAGATCTTGCGATACTGTACAAGCTCCTAAATACAAAGCAATGAGAAGAGAGCAGCAGTACGCACCACATCCTGTTGAACCTGGGGTAAGGGATCCGCATAAGTCTTAGCAGGTACAGCCGCCTTGGTGCTGGAAGGAATCCCAAGTGAAGGGCATGCAACGGTATATTCGTGCTAGGAGAGAATATTGGGTTTCCACTACACTTCTAAGTCACTAATATAGGCACGGTACGTATGCTCACCTTCGTGTCATCCCCCCAGAAATGAACGCCGCCTTTCCCCTCGTACTCGACGTGATTCCGGTCCTGCTCGCTCAGAGCGAGGCGCACCTTGCCGTGTACAGACTCTTCGCCGGTCTTGTAGCAGGATACCCAGAAGGTCTCCTCCGGAACTATGCCATCTTTGACATCGGTAATAAGGCTTTCAAAGTCGTGCTGCACCGTGGAAATAGGGAGGGTGATCGGTGGCTGGGACATTAATGGACGCGTACGCGTAATGAGACAGCGCAAAGAGCGATATCGCGGATAGACGCCAGATGTGAGCATGAGGCTGATTTCGAGGTTACCTTGACTTTGACCACGACCGCCTCGTAAGTGCATCTGAACTTGGGGCACTGCACTATCTTTGACTAGATTACAAAACTACTTAAAGCTCTTAGCGCTGCCAGAATGTCCACAGTGACCATACTCTCCACCGCGCCGCCCACTTCGACAATGGTTGATATTCCCGCGAACGCGACCTCACAGGCCTCACCGCCAATCGTGTACTTCTTCCGACTTGTTTTGAGCTTCGCTTCAGCTGCGTACTCGGCCTTATTGCTGTCCTTCTCCTCAGCCTGGTCTCTCTTCAAGACAATCCTCTTGCCAGTGCGCTCACTTCTCACTACGTTCTCGTCACCTCTCCTCTATATCCTCGCGCCCGTCATCGTCCTCGGAAGAATCTTGCTAGAGGTTCTTATATTTGCGCCATACTCGCTAATGACCGGCGCTGCCAGAGAGGTCTACCCAATCTATGTCTTCATTGGCGCAACATGCATCTGGGCAGCGTTTGTTGGTCTCTGTGCTCGGGGAGTCACCCACTACATGCGACTGTTGATGTTCGGCCCAGAAGATACTACCCCGACGCATGAACGAGAGTCAGCGAAGATAGCCGAAGTTCCTCGAGCGAAGGGAGCCAAGAAAGTGTCGATTAAAGAGGAGACCGACGTGAAGACTATTCTGCGGTGACCGATAGGCAGTTTATCACTTCTTTGTACGAAGTTCTTTCGTGAATAGCGAGACTATATGACTGAAGGGACAGATTAACTCATCACAGCTTACGAGCTTTCCACTTTGCTACATACCCCGCAACTACCCCTACGTCTTATACCTCTGTGAGTACTCCCATATTGTGTCCGTCTATCAGATGATCAATGTACGCGTTTTCTCTTACACAGAACTGCGCGTCTTTATTGGCGGGCGATGTGTTTTCGAGCCTGTTCAACGCTCAATGCTTGGCCAGCCACGCCTTATTTATATTCAAGAAGCGTATGCGCCGTGTACCATGCACACGCATGCACAGGACTTCCCTGGCATCGATATATAGGTCCTCTGTTCAGTCTACGAATAAGTGTGACGTCAGCGAGTCTGTTCAACGTTGGAAAACCCCGGGCTCTGCCTTCCTCTAAGCTATTACCTGCAAGGCCCAATTAACTGCCTTCACGAAGTATGCATCCATGTGGAGAATGTCAATCCTTTCAGGGCTCTTGTGGAGTGCGATTATGTTCCTGCTGATCTGCGATAGCTTCGCCTTTTTATTACGGTCACAAGGTTTATCCACGCTTGACGTCGCCAGTGCATTCCAGGGAGGATAAGATTCCAGAACAGTGGTGTGTAAGCTTGACAGCGACCAGCTGACTCAGGGCTGTAGGACGTCCGTTCTCGGGGCCATGCATATAAGCATCGTGGCCTCAAGTGCCCGAGATGCAAGCATTCAGATACGATGCGCTGGCTCTTTTTACTTGCTGTCACACTAGCCGTCTTTGCGCGCGCGCAGAATGATGGTATTGGTGACAGCTTGAATATTTCTTTTCAGGTTACATCGGGCGGGAATGACAACTATTTCCTGCGCGACAACGTCACCGCGGCACAGCTCCTGCTGACAAGTGCCAGCAACGCGAGCACAGTCTTGCGACGTCTGGTCGTCGCACTTCCTGCCGGAAATTCGGGTGCTCTCACTTACTTCCTACCGATCAATGCAACCGACAATACTACCTCGCTTTCTATCAGTCTCGTCAACGACACTCTGCACAGCACGACGAGGGAATTTAATAATGCTGGTATCGAGGTTGACTTTATTTTCAGCTCGAATGCATCACTCGGCGTGACGATTATTGGAGCGGTTCGCGCTATGAGAGGTACGCCATTAGCACGTTCGCGGTAGAGGTCGGTACCGTATTGAGAATCTCTCAGACTACGTCGAAGGAAACGGCACCATGCACGATATATTCAATTACACCCTCGACTCGTATAATAGCTCCTTCGTCCGCCTCCATCGGAAGTGGATCAACACTACACTTGGAGACCCTCCTGGGACGTTCAGGGGAGCGGACCTTTATCTCTCGATCCCGTCAAATAGCTCTGCCCAATTTTCAGTTACCAATAATACTTGGGCTCCTACTGTTGACATTCTCGTTCCGGCTGGCCCAAGCTCTGGAATCGTTCGAATCGCGGTCGTCACGAATGAAACAAGCCTCGCTGGTTTGAAACCTCAATCCCTATTCCTAGCTAATGCAACCAGTGGCAATGAAGGATTGCAAACGACCCTGCAAGGTTTGGCTAATGGCAGCAGTGAACCTGCGAAGCAGGTGCGCATGTACATCCCTCCCGGGCTATGTTCCATCCGTGTTGAATCCCGGCTTCCAAATAGGTCTCTTTCTTAACGTACACTGATAAATTTACTGCCGGTGGTTGGCGGTTCCTGACCGTACGTTGCACTTATCGCTGGCTATATGCGCTTGCTATCATTCACCTCGTACTTAACGCAGTACTTTGGGCGGGACTCGATGATTGCGCTCCGCTTGCTTATGCCTACACTTACATCAGAGGCCATCGAGTCTGTTCTAGGTGCAGTCATCGAACGAGCGAATTCTACCGGAGCCTTGTGTCATGAGGAAACCATTGGCGACTACGCCTCATTCATTAACATCCAGGATAACCAGAGCCATCTGGGAAACCAGCCATTCTATGATTATAAGATGATCGACACAGGTACTATAGTCCTCAGCCATCTTCGAGCACCGTTTAATATCACGTTTGCAGATCTTCTGCTCTTGCCTGCCATGGCTCATTACTTCCTTGAGCTGCCACAAGGCCAGGGTAGAGCCAAGCAATTCCTCGCCAGGAACGCGACGCTTCAGAACGGCACATATGCTGAAATATTAACAAGGTGCGTTTGACCATACAATGAGCTGACAGTACGCATGCCTCACATGACACGCTAGGACGGTTCTATACAACTACGCCCGCGCCCTACCCTTTGCGCAAAACGCGACGTATGGAAACTTGCTTGGCCTGCGCCCAGGGCAGCCCGTCGGTGACTGGCGCGATAGCAACCAGGGGCTTGGGTACGGTTTTTACCCATTTGACGTCAACACTGCGCTGGTGCCCTCATCGCTGCGCGCCACACAGGCGCTCCTCGATGCGAGCGTCCTATCCAACACCAGCCTCAATGCGACCGAGGTCGGTGACATCGCGGGCGTTTGGGAGGGCCATACCCCGAAGCTATTCGAGGTCAGAGTCGACGCGTCAACTGCACAGCAGCGCCTGGAAGACTTTGTTGTGCGCGCGAATTTGAGCAAGAGCTTGCTGAATCAGACAGGCTCTTCAGCTAGGGGAAACGAAGTGGCGTTCTACGCGCTGTCGTTAAAGATGGACGGCACGCCTGTAGAGGTTTTAAACTCGGACATGAGCTTCAATCTCGTGTATGGGTCGAACGTGTCGCAGGTGTTCCTGCAGCATGCTGTGGATGCCTTGCAGCCTTATCCCAAAGGTCAGTCCGATTTCTCGCAATGGATTGCTAAGCTGACACTTTCATAGGGCTGTTGACAAATATCGGAATGGTGGTCTCAAACCCGGCATACGACTCCAACAGAACGAACATCGATGTCCTGAACCGGGCGGCATACCATGGTACCGTCATTTGGTTAGTTGGGCGCATCATCACGTCTAGTATACCTAATGTTTTCTGCGCAGGTCGTTCCAGCAAGGGCTTATGGCAAGCGGCCTCGCACGCCAGCTCTCCCTCTGTATTGCAACAAATGAAGTACCCACAGCTCATTTTGCACTAGCATTGAGCGAGCCCCCGGCCTGGTGCGCGGACGATGCGTTCGTACAATCCCTCAAAGATGCACAGAGCAGACTCTGGACTGCCATCGAGGGTGCATGTAGTGGTGCGTCAAGTTCGGGTTCTCCACTTCTGAGTTTGGCCAACCAATCTCGGTTCGCAGAGATAAACACGGAAGTCTGGTCCTACTCATTCAATAATGAGAGTAACACGTTCGAGGTTGCGGACTTGGCAAGCCTGTCCCCAGACGGGACGGAGTCCGACGCTATCCAGCTATGGTCCTATGGCTTCTTGGGTATCATTGATCCACACGGCAATCGGACAATCGACTCTTGAGTTTTTCCACCAAGCACGCAGGGGGGATACCAAATCTAATCCCAGAAGTAGTGTAGGATTAGCGACCAGAGATGGCTAGTTTGTTTGTGCAGAAGAGCAGTGTTCGTAGTATACAGACGTCGGCAAAGCGAGCACGAAAGAGAACATGGTCAGAGCAATAATGTAAAGCACCATAAAGTTTTGAAACACGAAAGACATCCCCCGCCAGCAGCATCTACAGTGGTACCTGGGCCTACAAGAGCGGGCTCCATACACTCCGTTCCTTTGGTGGTAGGATAACGGCGGAGAGCGAAGCAGGATCTTGATCAGAAAATCTCTCTTTCAGGACCGCAAGCTTAGAGCGGTACTCGTCAAGGCCGATGTATGCGCCGCACAAGCGACGCTTGCCTGTGAATGCAGAGCGGCCATGCAGGACTCGATGATTGTTTACAACTATACGTTGGAGCAATTGTCAGCGCCAGGAGCTGCTAAGCTGGAGTAAAATTACTTGCCTACGGCGGTACCGGGCGACAACTGCACCCAGTACTCCGAGTCCGCACTTGTGAGGAGCTTGTGCCAAAGTCGTATCGCATCGTACCACTCGTCCATCTCGCTCGCCGTCAAGTGGTCCATCGTGCTCCGGTCGTCATTATTCCATCGCACTTGCACAAGTTCATCACCATGGTGCCGGAGGATGGGGTAGCCTGTCACAGGGAACAACGTGTATACTGAGCCGGGCTCGCCAGCAGCGTGGGCGGGGACGCCGATGCGCGAGAGGGTGTCGTATGCCTTAGGATACAGCTCCTTCAAGATGGAAGCGACGTAAAAGCCATCGACAAGCAGTGTAGCGCCGCCGGTGCCGCCAGTGTGTTCAAGAAGATGGAAAAGTTGGAGACCACAGGGGTCAGTCTGAAGACCTAATTAGAGTATGGGCGGGTGCGTGTGGAGGGTAGTAACTCACAAAATAGGTATTATCAGTATGAGCACCGAGGGCCAAGTTCGTATAGGCAGTGTCACCCCTCGCAAGATCTGCCGTGAAGTCCCAGAATTTGCCATCTGCAGACCGGTGAGTGAATACACAACATCTGTTCACATGGGACAAGGCGCACACTGAGTTTCTCGGCTGAAACCAATCTGCGTTGAAAGCTCTTCTGTCGCTTCAGTTGTAGCAGGTACACCGGAGACGAACGAGAAGCCAAACTTGTCCTGCGAGGCACTGAGCATTCCTGATATGCCTATTAATTGAACTTGGACTTACAACGTTCGTTAACCATTTGTAAAGCCCTCTCTCATCGGGCGACATGACTTCCTCATATGAGACCGTGGGGGGTGCCTGCTGAATTTTGGAGCACCAGAGAATTTCTCTAAAAATTGATTTAACACATGAAAGCAGTTAGAACCTAGAGCAGACGTACTCTGAGCTAGACTCGTGCCGGGGGAGTGGTGGGTCATAGGAGTGTCGCCGTAACCAGTCCCAGGGATAGAAGGAAGTATGTGGGATCGAAGATGGCCCTGAGGACGCCTTCAGTTTCCTGACCTATCCAGGACGATGGTTTGCAATGCAGAGCGTACAGTGGACTTCAAGGCCGTCGGGTTTGGATTCGACTTTTGCCGGCTTGATATCCGGGGGAATCTGCAACTCAGGTCACAGATCTGGTTCAGCGAGAAGTTCGGGACAGAGTACACACATCGAAAGTGTTGAGAAGACGCTGTTTCGTCACAGGGTGGAAGCATTCGGGACACCGGCAGTGGTCCCGGAGCCACACATGGTGGCTACGAGCGAGGTTAGCACATCCGCTATCCGCACAGCGCAGGTGACGCACAATTTAGCCCACTCTCCGATATCAAACCCAACGACGACCTTCCGCTCGTCGATCCTGCTCACAGGGAGGTCCTGGCTCCGCGCTGTCGGGGCACCATTAGCAGGAGTGGACGACTCCGGCGGTAAATACGTCCGCTTGAGGGCTGCGGCAGCCGCAGATGCCCAACTCGTCGCAGAGTGCAGTGTCCTTGTCTGCCTTTGGGCTGTAGTCTGCGTGATGATATGGCTTCGTCGGCCTATCGGCGGGGCAAGATAGTGATGGTGAGACGTACGCTTTGGACTCGCACCAGCGTACTTCTGCATGAAGTACTAATGGTACGGCATGAGCTTTTGAGTGTTTTTGTGGTCATGCCACTTGGGCGCATGATTTTCGTTACGGTCGACATCGTACAGTGAATCTGAAGGAAAGATTGCGCGAGTTAGCAGACCATACCCGAAAACTTCAGACGCAAAAGCGTACGAAGATCGGTCCTTTGAAGCAGAGGTACTCGAGTACTCAAGAGAGAAAGGAGCAAGCAAGCGGGAAAGGGAGGGGCATAGAGTGCGCTGTGTGCCGTGGTGGGCGGTGGCCAGGAGCCAAATGAACGTGACATGCAGCCAGTTCTCGTGTCGTAAGCATGCTGACGCGCGGGGATCTCCCAACATCTCGTGAGGCAAGTCGCGAGCAGTGCATTAGATACAGCTCGGGTACTTCGATACTGTACATAACAAACTCGTCTGCCGCTTGCCGACGTGTGTCTACGCAATATGCTGAGCTGTGGCGGGCACCACTGTTTTCAGTCAGGCGAACTGACTTCGAAATGCTTGGAGCAGGATAGAGTCCGTAGGTGTAGGCGTAACTTCCAAATTGACCACACTCTACGCCGTCGGTGACAACACACACGAATCATGGCCTACAATTCAAAAGGGTCTTGCTTGGGAGCAGGTGCATTTCTGACCTTGTAGCAGCATAAGACGTTTTAAAAGTTCTCAGATTGGATAGCCTTGAGAACATATCCCTCGAGACCGCCACACAGCCACAACTCCTGCACGGACGCGCCTACTGGTTGGACGGTGTACGTCTTGGTCTTGCCGTCGGGGAAAGTGACGGTGAGTGCGCCGTCGACGACCTTGATTACGGCCGAGAGGCCCCTGTTGACGGTGAGCTCACCATCCTTGCCTCCAGCACCACGCTTGCCATCCCTTGCGTACTCCACAGTGAGGTCTGCAACGAGCTCAGGCGACTCGACGCACACGAGCCCGTTGTTGATCGCGTTGCGCTTGAAGATGTCGCCGAACGAGCCCGCGACGACGATGGGGATGCCCGCGGCTTTGAGTGCCGTTGCGGCCTGCTCGCGGGACGAGCCCGTGCCGAAGTTGTATCCGGACACAAGCACGACGCCGCGCCTGATACGTGCATCGTCGTCTGCGGGTTGCCGCTTGCGGATATCCACAATAAGTTGAGCAAACGTTAGGTCGTAATTCTCCATGACGACCTCGGCCTGGCGCTCGAGCGTGATGTCGTCCTGGTACGTGTATTTGCCGGGGTAGATCCCGTCAGTGTTCAGGTTATCCTGGGGTGTGAAGAGCAGGGGACCTGCAAAGGTCTCCGGGAAGCCTGCGAGAACGGCTTCCTTCTGTGAGAGCTTCGTTTCCGATGAGGGCGAGCCAACGATAGAGAATGTAGGTGCACCGGCTGGGGGGAGTTTACTGGCGTCGAGAAGATCGGGGCTGGCGATGTAGCCTTTGACGGCACTCGCAGCGACGACGGCGGGGCTGGCGAGGTACGCCTGAGCGAGTGGATGGCCCATGCGGCCCTTGTAATTCCTGTTGGTAGCACTGATACCGACCTCGCCCTCCTCCAGGAGGCCCGTACCAAGGCCAATGCACGGCCCACAGCCAGCAGGGAGAAGCTTGGCACCGGCCCCAATCAGGGTCTCCCAGTCGCCACTCTGCTCGGCCTCACGCTGGACCTCAGAGGAAGCAGGCGCGACAAAGAATTGGACGTCTGAGTTGATCTTGTGGCCCTTAATGACCGCAGCAGCAGCAGCGATGTCAGAAGCACGAGCATTCGTGCAGCTGAGCAGATACGCTTTGTTGATCTTGATCTTTGCTTCCTCGAGCTTGGGCAGCGGATTCGCGATCTTGACGCTGTTGGGACCAGAGACATACGGGACAAGAGTCGAAAGGTCGAAGACGAGGTGCGACGAGTACTCGGCGTCAGCATCGGAACGAAGGTTTGCGGTGCGAAGGGCATCGAGGCGGGCCCGGTTGATACGTGGGTGTTCTGGAGGGGGTGGGATCGAAGAGCCAAGAGCAGGAGTAGAGAAGGTGCGGAGCTCGAGCTTCTTCAGCATACGCTCGTACCAGTCCAATGCGACAGCGTCTACAGGGAAGACGCCGACGAGGGCACCCCATTCCGTTGTCATGTTCGCGATTGTCAACCGTTCGTCGATAGAGAGATGCTGGACACCCTCGCCTGTGAACTCGATAGCCGCGTTGAGGACTTCATCTTTGTTGAACGAGCCACACAATGCGACGATGACATCCTTTCCAGACACCCCCGGTGCAAGTTTGCCCTTGAATTCGACCCTGACCATCCGAGGAACCTGCCACCATGTCTGACCTGTTGCCCAGAGGGCGGCAGCATCAGTACGGACAATGGGAGTGCCAACACACCCAACACCGCCATACATGTTACTATGGCTGTCACTGGCGACCGTGAGCGCATGCGGGAAAGCGTATCCTTCCTCGACCAAAATCTGGTGGCCGATACCTCGACCTGCGGGGTAGAAGTCGATGCCGTATATCCGAGCAAATGCCTCTATCGTGGCATATTTTTTGAGGTTCTTCTCTGACTTGTTCTGGACATCATGGTCGAGCGTAAAGACGACCTGCTTGGGATTGTGTATGCGGGTAGCACCGATAGATTTGAACCTATAAGAGACGCAGGTCATAACGAGTACAAATAGCTCAGTTTATGTGCATTGGAAGATCTCAAGATGAAGCAGGCCGTGTCACAGACGAAACGAGCGCGTTATTTCGATTCCTCCGAACAAGGTCTGCTGCAAGCCATGCTGCCCATGCCGCTGCATGCTGAAACGACTCACTTTGAGATCACAGGACCAGTATTGTCGTGTGTCATGACATGCTCTGGACGAATCATGACATAGTCCCCTGCTCTGACGACCTTGTCTGCAGGGAGCCCGACGGCATATTTCTGAACAACCTTCTCGATGACAGTCTGTGGTATCCTGGGTCGTTCGGCGACCGTCGCAAAGCCGCGGATGCTGAGTGCGGTCCACCGCCGGAACAGCAGTGAGTGTAGTGGCATCCCTGCCACGGAAAGCCGTCCGTGAAGCAAAGGGTAGTAAGGACAGCAAGAGCTGGAGGTCTCTGTTTGACTCGGCCGAGTACAAACGCCCATCCCACATGGCTAATTCTGTAACGAAATATACGCCCTATGATTGGCCAGGAAACCCAAGGTGTAATGCTGCACTTCGACTGACATCATCCATCGAATTCAGCGTCTGGAGGGTGCGAGACATAAAGTGAGAGGCTCAGCTTACATTCTCATGTTCGCTTTCCGCAGTCGTCTACCACAACTTGTTCTCAGATTACACCACCCGGCAACATCGACGTTACGCAGAATGTCGTCCAAGACCATCGCCGTGCTCAGCGAAAGCGAGCTGAAAGACGGAGAGATGTCCGTATGCATCGGATACAAGTATTAGAGGCACGCATGCTGAGACAGCACACAGGAAGGAGGTCGCCTTCGAGGGGGAGGGAAAAGTTCTCCTCTCTCGTCTCGGTAACAAGATTCACGCGACCAGCGCGTTCTGCACGCATTATGGAGCGCCACTTGCGAAAGGCGTGCTCACGGCCGATGGTCGAGTGGTCTGGTGAGTGCTAGTCTCCCCATCCGCAGCTCGAGTCTCCTAACGATCTGAAACAGTCCATGGCATGGAGGTTTGTACATTCACAAAAACATTCGCATATAGGCATTGAAGTCGTTCTCAGCTTGCTTCAACGTCTGTAACGGGGACATCGGTATGTGTGAAAAGCTTTGGACACGGTCGCTACGTTGACATTGCCTCTCCAGAGGATGCGCCGGCGCCCTCAGCGTTGCATTCTTTCAAGGCCGAAGTCAAAGATGGTCAAATTCATGTTACTGCGGACCCTGAGAACACCAACAAGAAGAATATGTCACGGCAACCCAAGCTTCTGGCCACCGGCTCGGCACAGTCGACTACCCCAGGCGTCGTTATAGTCGGGGGAGGGAGTGGTGCTTTCCACGCCGTTGAGAGCCTGCGTGAGGTATATCAAATGCTGATTAACGCGTCTTGGGAAATGTACTCATCCTGTATGACAGCATGGCTACAATGGCGCGATCACCGTGTTCTCGAAGGAGACTCATGCTCCGATAGACAGGTAGGCCGGCCGGCAACGCGTATACATGCATCTGCTGATAGCGTGCACCCAGAACGAAACTGAGCAAGGCGCTGGTGACCGATCCGTCGAAGCTCGAGTGGCGTTCTGCGGCCGAACTCAAGGGCAAGTACGGTGTCACCCTCCGCACAGGTGTGGAGGTAACCCAAGTCGACGTCAAGGGAAAGTCAGTCACCGTCGGTTCCTCTGGAGAGCGTGTACAGTACGAGACCCTCGTCCTTGCTACCGGTGGCACCCCTCGCCAGCTCCCCGTTCAGGGTAAAGAGCTTGGCAAGATCTTCACTCTCCGTGGAGTAGATGACGCGAAGAAGATTGATAGCGGTATGTAATGCTTTAGCCAGTGAACCATCATGCTTACATGTTAGTGTAGAGGTCCAGGAGGGTAAAAACTTGTCGTTATCGGCTCCTCCTTCATCAGCATGGAGCTCGTCGCCGCTGTCTCCAAGCGTAATCTCGCTTCCATCGACGTCATTGGCATGGAAAGCGCACCCTTTGAGGCCGTCCTTGGCACGGAAGTCGGCAAGGCATTACAGAAGGTGAATCGCCTGTCGCGTCTTGTAGTCCGTGCATTGACCGGCGATATGCCTGTAGTTCCATGAGTCCAAGGGAGTCAAATTCCATATGAAGTCCTCGGTTTCCAAACTCGTACCTTCGACAAGCTCGCCTTCCGACGTCGGCACCGTTGTTGTCAAAGGCCCCGAAGGCCAAGAGACCGAGCTCGCCGCAGACGTCGTCATCATGGGCGTCGGTGTCGCGCCAGCAACCGAGTACCTCAAGAACAGCGAAGGCATCAAAGATCTCGTAGACAAGAGTGGTGCAATCGCGGTCGACGAGTTCCTGCGCGTGAAGGGTCTCGACGGAAGCGTATTCGGCATCGGCGACATTGCGTTGTACCCGCAGCCCGGGACAGGCGAGCTGCGCAGAATCGAGCACTGGAACGTCGCAGGCAACCAGGGTCGTGCGGTCGGCAAGACCATTGCTGAGGGCGGCCAGGGCCAGCCCTTCGTCAAGGTCCCAGTTTTCTGGAGCGCACGTGAGTTTTTACCTCTCGGAGTGGGTTTTTGAGCTTTACTCGGCTGCGTAGAGGGCCAGCAGCTCCGCTATTGTGGTGTCGGCGCCGGTTTCGACGATATCATCGTCGACGGCAATCTCGAGGAGATGAAGGTACGTCCCACTTGCATCCTGTGTGTGATCGTGCAGCACACTGATACTTCGTGGACAGTTCGTAGTGTACTATGTGAAGGGCGACAAAGTCATTGCCGTTGCTAGCATGCAACGCGACCCTGTCGTCAGCAAGGCATCTGAGCTCTTGAGGCTTGACCTGATGCCTTCGCCTTCTGAACTGAGAGCAGGCAAGGTCAGTAAACGACCAGTGATTTCAGGCGGGCTTCTCTGACCTGATCCTTGCAGGATTTGCTGACAGTCGATATCGCTTCGACTGCTGCCAAGATCAAGGTTGCATGAGCGTACGTGTTCTTGAGACTCTAAACAATACATCCATGGGAGTGTGAGGAACTGGATACATGTATCTGTGTCAGTTGTATAGTAGCATATATCCGGCAGAGACAATGTGTAGCAACCCCGGAAAAAGCGAATACCATGTATTTTTCTGAGATGATGCAGTAGAGTCATAGCCGTCGCGACGCATCACAAATCATTCTGTCGTTGATAGAGTAGTATTTGCCACGTAAAAGACATCCAGAGAGAGTCCTAAAATGCATAGCCGGTGACCATGATAACGTGCCTGCCACCAATGTCGATCGTCTCCATATGCTCTCCCCCAGGTAAGTGTTCATGACGTTCCTCCGGGAACTCAGAAATCGTCGACCGGACACCGACACTCCCCTTGCTATACCGCGCCCCATAATCCGCAGCGATGTCCCACTCCGAGTCTTCTTCCAACACCGCCTCGACGTCGCTCATCCGGTTCGAGAACCGCGCCGGGAAGCTCTTGCTGGCTGACATCGCTGACCTGATACGTGGGCTCTGAGGCTGCGTGAGCGTCTGAGAGCGGATGCGCGTGACGGTGACGACGCCCTGCTTCGGCGTGCGCAGGATAGGGCTTTCAGGCGGTGAGGGCGTGCCCGACGGCGACACGGACATGTATTCGGTCGACGCGTTGCCGTCGCTCGAGTCCAGCTGCGAGCCAGACTCGCCGACGTTGCTTCCAGCGCTGGTGTTGCTGTAGCGCGACTCACACGTCGCGTATGACGCGGCCTTGACACTTGCAGCACCGTTGCTCGCGCGATTCAGGGACGCGTCTGAGACCTCGGACGCGGCGGAACTGCGCTCTGAACCCGAGAGTGGCGCAAAGGTATTGACCGAGAGAATATGCGTGACGTCTTCGAAGTCGCCACTAGCGTTACGATCGGAAGTCGCAGGGTGAGTTTGCCAAGCCAAGCGTTGTTGTGTAGACTGGGTACTATCTTGAGGCAAACTAGGCTGAGGGCCCAAGCTCGGGGCATCGAACACAAGAGAAGGTAGAGGCAAGGTTATGATACTACCCTGTTGGCTCGAGGTTGGTGTTGTTGACCTCTTATCTGTCAGTACTTTCTCGGGATCTTTGCTGCTTGGGTCGAATGGTTCGACGGTGTCGTGGGCCGAATGCTTCTTGAGACGACGCGGAACACAGTGCATACAGAAAGCACAGGCAGAGATACCAAGGAGAGACGACACGGCGAGTATGGTCCCGATAACAGCAGCCTTCCTGGACATTTCCGTTTGCGAAGACCCGGACTCAGAGACGCGTGCCTTTCCGGTTGGCGAGGGCGTGGCAGAATGCAAAGGATTTAAAGATGCGGGGATGATCGTGCTAGTAGGAGTAACAGAGTTCAGCTGCGCTGCCGGTGTCGAAGGTGTAACCGACTCGGATGAGATCGTGAAGATCAGAGGAACATTCTCGCTCGCTGGAGAGGGAGTGACAGTTGACTCTGGAGTATTAGTAGTCCCGGCTGGATCTCCAGTCAGAGTAGACGTTGCCTGGGCGTTGTCCAGCAAGGTCGGTTCCGAAGTGACATCGCCAGTTGTCGAAGGGGACTCTATGACAGGGCTAGTAGACACAGGCGCAGCTTCTACAGGCTCAGCAGTGGTAATGGGGTCAGACGCAGGCGCGGGTACCGATCCTTGTGCGAAGTCTGTAGGATCCCCTTCCGACACAGCGGCAACGACCACAGACGTGGGCGCAGGCTGGGAGTAGTAGTCTGGCAAGAACACCGCAGGCGTGAAGAATGGCGTGATAGTCGGTGCGCCAGCGGGGTCAGTCACAGGAGTGAAGTCGCCGTCGCCAGGGTTCGGGCTTCCGGGAGGGCTGACCGCGGGAGCTGCATGAACGCATGGGTTGTAAACCGCGAAGGTCAGGAGCAAAAGCGGGATTGTCTTCATAGAGTTCATGGCGCAGACGTGTAAGGATCGTGAGTGCCGAGTGGGCGTGAGTATAGAGACACAAACGAGAGACTAGAGTGTGTAGATGTTGCGGACGTCGGCGGCGGGGTGATGAACGTCGAGAGCAACCATCACAAACGACACCAAGCGGCTGGCGGTTCGAACATCGGGTGCGGATCGGTTCGAAAGCACCATCAGTCCATCACAACAAACGCTCCAAATCAACCGCGACGGCGCGAAGCTGCTTCACGCGTCTGGGCGAGGTCACTGTCTTCCCTACGCCCGGCCGGCGACCGATACGTGCTCTACACAGAGCTGCAGCTCTTGACATGTTCGGATCGCCATCGAAACTTTCCCCTCTGTGGAAAGGCAAAGCACGGGCCACAGAATCAGACTACGACGACCTTAACCCCGTTATCACGTACAGACATCTGCATTCCAACAACCTCGGTGTTAGAGACCCCTTGCGTGTCATAGCACTCTGCGACAGCGACGCGTTTTACGCCGCTTGCGAGCAGCTGCGCTTAACCATCGATCCCGAGAAACCTTTGGTCGTGCAGCAATGGCAAGCGTTGATTGCAGTGAACTATCCTGCGCGCAAGTATGGGATCTCTAGGATGGACAACATCAAGGATGCCAAAAAGCGATGTCCGCATCTTGAAGTTGTACATGTTGCAACATACAAAGAGGGGGAAGCAGAACCTGGATACTGGGAAAATCCTGATACGCGTACACACAAGGTCAGCCAGTGCAGTGGATGAGGGATGGAACGGATATAGTTCATGCGCCAAGTAGGTCTCACTAGATTACTACCGCAAAGAAAGTTGGAAGATATACCACATGTTCAAAGAGGGACTGCCTATCGGTGAAGTTGGTAAGTACGCCGAAGACATATCTTCGCTAACCCCTATTCTCATTGCATTCCCTCTGCAGAGAAAGCGTCCATTGACGAGGCCTTCATCGACTTTACCCGGCCCGTACGCGAAGAGATCCTCAGTAGATATCCGTATCTAGCAGAGGTGCCTCCCGACGCACCATTTGGCAAGGATACTCCTCTTCCGCCACCACCTCCGATATCCTGGGATGGCCTTGGTACAGTAATACCCGTCAACCCACCGCGCGAGGAGAAGAAAGATACAAATGACGAGGAAGGTAACGAGGACGCTATTCACGAAGATGCGGATGAAGAAGGCGTCCATGAAGATGATGCGTCTGCGACTTGGCACGACGTTGCACTTTCCATTGCCGCAGAGCTCATGGGCAAGATACGGCACGATGTTTACACTAAGCTAGGATATTCAACATCCGCGGTGAGTGTGTGTTCCCTCATGGCCGTAGATTATCAGCTCATGATGTTGGCAGGGTATCTCTCGGAACAAGTTTCTAGCTAAGGTCAGCAAAGGAGGCATTAAGACTAGTTCACATCTGATCACGCGCCCCCTGAAGTTGACTGCGTCCTATAAGAAGCCCAATAATCAAGTAAGCTGATGTGGTCTGGTATTGCGTCGAGAGTTGCATACTCAACACCGGTTCCTAGAGTATACTACGCAACGCGGCTATTCCAAATTATTTACGGCCAATGCCTTTCCAGAAGGCACGAGGTTGGCCTTTATCTCTGGCATCACAGCTCATACCATACCTCTAGATTCGATTTCTCGGAGGCAAGCTGGGAAAAGCGTTGGCCGAAGAGTACGATGTCTCTACCGTTAGCGACCTCTTGTAAGTAGGATGACCTCGCTGCCCCGTTGTGGATGATATATATTGTTACAGGACAGTGAACCTTGGTGTGTATTCCGGGTTATGGATGGATACCGTGTATTGACGCGTTCGCAGACGAGATTCAGCGTAAATTTGGAGAGGAGTCCATTTGGGTGTGGGAGATCCTTCGGTGGGTGTTGTACTTGTCGTGTTCTGTTCCTCATTCTAATGTAGTTCACCCAGAGGCGTTGACCGAACCGAAGGTGAGCTATGCAAGGAACCCTATCGTCTTGAATCGTGACATAGCACGGTAAAATCCGACAGTGAAGGAGAAACCGCCTATCACCAAGAGCATGCTAGCGTCCAAGAATCTGCCACAGCCTATTGTTACAGCGTCGCAAGGACATCACTGGATACGAGTCCTCGCTGCTGAGCTGGCATTACGTTTACGAGAAGCACGAGAAAGCATACCTGCGCTTTGGCCAAAGTCGCTTGTACTGCATGTACAACAAGGTACGCGATTCCGCCTGGTGCGCCGTGGCCCCGACTGAATGGTATCCAGGACATGAAGCCTTTCGTTCTAAGCAAGCACCTTTCTCATTCACGCGCGAGATAACAGTAGACGTCATCGCTACAGCTGGAGACAAACTGTGGAAAGAACTCGTCGGGACAGATACTTCGAGGAAGGCACCCATGAAGATAACGCATATCCAACTATCGTTTTCTGGGATTGTGTCTACGGAGACAGGCCAACGCCGCATCGAAGGATTCTTTCAAAAGCCACAGATCACCAATCAGGATATCAATCCAGAAGATCAAGCTACGGCCAGCGAGAACTACCCGCAGAGCACCAGTAAACCTTTCAAGCGCAAGAGGTCTGAGTCGATCGTATCAGGGGTAGCAGATGTCGATATTGCACAGGAGGATGCCTTCTCCAGACCTGCTACGCCCTCGTACGTCTGTGACCGGTGTGGCCAAACCATCTCACCAAGATACGGTAACCATGACGTTCCTGTCGCAGAAGACGAGATGCAACAGGCATTAGAGCGATTTCGGCACGAACATGACGATTTTCACTTTGCTCAAGACTTGTCAAACGAGGTTCCTAAGGGGTCTCAGCATCAAGCGCGCGACGATACGTCCGTCCGACAACGCCAACCAACCTGCGAAGAGTAAGAAGCGCAAGCAGGAGTCAAAAGATGAGGGCAAAACTGCGAAGGACTCGAAGGGCGGGATCGCGAAATTCTTCACGCAGCGATAGGTGTAGTCATAGAGCGAGCGATTGTCGGATATGACGGACGCTATGCACCCGGGGTCCCGCTGATGCGAACGACCACTTTGCCACAACGACTTTAGTAGGCGTCTATCGGCTTCATGACGCGGTGCCTGGCTCAAACTTGGCTACTGGTTGGAAGCGCGTTGTTTCTCCATACTTCGAGCATGCGCCTAGGCTCATACGTCGGGTTAGCTTGAAACACGAGATCTGTGGAGTTCTCGGTGCAGCGGCAGTGGCAAACAAGTCACAAATTATCATCAAGGCGATGTGGGCGACAGTTTGAGTGTGTGATCAGTGATGGTGACCGGGGCATCGCCTTTACGAATTTCCCTCATCTATCGGCAACCGGTCGACGTGGGATTCTTCTTCGTGGTTTCCTAACCCCCACGGTCATCTTTCGTTTCTTTTCTTCTCCCTTCGTTCTGGGACCGGTCCCAATCCGCCTGCTGTTCAGCCAGACGGATTTTTCTTCGACGATTAGGCGCAGGACGACCTTTGCTGTTTCATTATAGCAACTTTCGCGGCCGAGTCTGTCTGGAACAGTACCAGGAAGGCCTTTTTTGCATTATTTTGCTCGAAGTTGCTCGCACACCCTCCCTCCTTCAGTTATAATCCCTAATTTCGATCATGTCTACTGCGCCCGTCAAGTTTCAGAACGGCCAAGCCTCTAGTGTTGCTGTAGGTCTCCAATTCCAGAATGTAATTCCGCTACTAATTGCTCTTCTGCAGGTTGTTGTTGCTTTCGCGGCGATTTCCCTCGTTGCGCTCGACTTTTTCTGGCTGCGTGTGCTCTATATTGCAGTATCTCAACTGCGCAACCGCGCTAGCATCCAAAAGAAGCTCAGCCGCGAGCGTCACATATTTCATTCGCAGCTCGGGGCCTACACGGTTTCGCTCCTGATCAGCAATTTGTTTAGCAGTGTCTCGTTCGTGCTGAATGCTGCGTATCTCACAGTCGGCCAAATCACCCCAGGTAGGCCAACCTCCCCATTCGTTTGGAAAGAGGCTGGTACTGAGCGCGTTATACTAGGTGCTCTGTGCAGATCTCAAGGTTCGTACTATGTAATCGCGCTACAACGAGAGGTCTGACATGACTACGGTTTTGCAGCTACTCTGAGCCAGGTTGCTGATGTTGCAACTGCATACTTCACTGGTGCGATTGCGGTGCACACTTTTAACTCCCTTGTACTCCATCGCCGTCTCCCTGTTTGGTTCTGCGGACTGGTGGTAGTGTTCGGCTGGATGGCTTCCATTGTGATGGGTACGTTTGTGATGGTACAGTCGCATTTGAGGAAAATTCGCCTAACTCATGACGCAGCCACCGTACCTGCTCACTTTGAGACCAAGTACGGTCCCTTCTACACCATCGATGGTGCCCTGTGCGGTATCTCCGCGGACTACCAGATATGGGAGACCTGCATTCATCTGCTGCCGGTAAGCATTTAGTACAGCGCGTCAGACTGAGATCTGACGTGGTTCAACAGATCTTCGTTGCCTCGCTGGTTGCGGTCCTATTCTATGCTTTGGTCTTCCTGATCATCAGGGGCACCCTGGCATTCCGCGGTGGTCTTAAGTTTAACCTTGATCCCGAGGCTCGCAGGAGTACTATGTACGGCAACTTCGAATCTCCGAAGTTTATCGCATCTGTTGCAAGGAGCATGCTCTGGTACCCCGCTGGTGAGCTTCGTCTAACGTCAACATCATTTAATCTGTGTATTGATTGGTGCTCTAGCGTACATTGCACTCATGTTCCCGCATCTCATTGTCTGTTTCATGAGCGCATCTGGAATCAAGGTAACTTTCGCCTCGAGGATCTTCACTGCGGCTTGCTCGGCTCTATTGGGTAAGTACTCCGCAGACAGTAGCTCGACTCCTACTGAGCATTGACCGTAGGTCTCGCGAACGTCCTGGTCTTCTGCAACAGCATCCGTGTCATGGGGCCTGCCTTCGAAAGCCCCGCACCTTCGGAAGAGTCCGTCGGAAGTTTTGGTGGCAGGGAGAAGTCCGGTTCCCCTGTAGATGTTGCGCCCCCTGCAGCCGCGTTTGTAAGGCCTGCCAAAGCATTCCCTCCCCCTCGCTCCGTTTCGACCATCAGCTCTAGCGAATCGACCCGCGTACTGTTGGCGTCTCGCTATAGGCATGCGTATTCCGGCAGTGTTGCGAGTACCAGCGAGTCTGCATCCATTGGTCGCCCGATCACTCCGGCCTCGGATCTCAACCAAATCATCGCGACACCTCAGCCCACTGCAAGCAAGGGAGGGCAACTCTTCCACCTGAACATCGCTGTCCCAGAAGAAGAGCCCACTTCTCTCCCCGCTCCCCGCCGTAGTGCTCGCGCGACCATCGTTAGGCAGTCAGTTGACCAGTCCATCCTTACCGCTGTTCCCTTGAAAACTCCCGCCGGTGCCGCTTTCCCTCAGAATAGAGGCTTCCAGCGGGACTCTTTCATCAACATGTACGCATCCCGCTCTCCCGTACCCGAACCGGGGTCCAGTTCCTCTGCGGAGCCGAAGGGTCGCGTTGTTCCCCCAGCACTTGTGCTGAACGATGGAGATGCTGCTACTGTCCCCTCGTCTGGTAGCTCCGGGTACACCACGTCCACCGCATCCGATGTTCCGTCGAGCGCGTTTGCAGACAAGAAGCAGCTTTCTGCCACCCACTCGCGTTCCTTCCGCTCGACGATGCGCGACCGCATGAGCACCATCGAAGTCCCCGAGGGCGGCCTCTCCCCGATCGCCTGGGCTTCGATTGTCGCAGACGCCGCGTCGAGCAATGGCGGTGTGTCCGCACAGCAGTCCGACAAGGCTGCCCGGCGGCGCTCGCGTTCTATGGACGGCCTCGCTGTTCCGTCGACGCTCCGCCCGCGCGTTCCCGTAAGCGCGACTCTCCGGCGCGAGTTCCCCAGCACGGAGCTGCTCATGCCGCCAATGTCCGCAGGCCTGCCTCCGCGCTACCAGAACCGCTTGGCGCGCCTGGACTCGAAAGCCGGCGTGCGCTCAAGCCAGTCCAAGATGGCAACACTCAGCACCAGCTCTGACTCGATGTAAACATCATGTGTTCCGGCTAGTCTGGCATGCTTTGGATTTATATCATGTCATAGTTCTCGCACTTCATCTGGAAAAAGTTTTGGTCAATGTTTCTTTGTTTTGTAGCTGTGAAATTGCTCGTTCGTTGCGGTCGAAATGCTTTCAGATTTTTCTTGCCTCAGAAAATGAGTGACGCACGAGCCACGGACAACCTGCTCTTATTTTGAACCCGTCTTAAGAAGCTCACTCGTGTTTCAACCCTGCCCTGCCGTGGCGTGGGAAGTGTCGTCGGGCGATACGCGGTCGCAGGCGCGCACAATGAGAGTCACACAACTGCGACACCCATCATCTTTGGCTAAGATCTGCATTGACGAGGGATGAATACGGCATCGTCGTCTACCACTATGTGCATCGTGCATGCTGTGAGGGCCTCTGCTGTACGATAGGGCCAGCTGATTCCCGGGCTGTGAAGTTGGCTGGTGTCCCTAAGCTGTTCGTGAGTTCGTAAACGAAATGATCTCAAGGTGTGTTACTACTATCAAACAGTATGCGTTTGAGCTTACTTATTCTTCTCAACAGACACTTCAACAGACACTTCAACGTGCATGTCAATCGAAGAGTCGATCACGTCGAACCTAGTTGGGAAGTCGAACGACGAGCTCTTCTCCCTTCTTGCTCTCTTTCAGCCCCACCACTTCTTCCCCGTCCTCTTGTTGCCTTCGCCGGCGAAGCCTATACACGAGCTCTCAGCCTGTTCATCATCCACCGCGAGCGATGGAAAGCTTTAACTTCTTCAAGCGTTCCCTGCGCGAGTACGACCCGTCGGCCAGTAACAAACACGTATGTCTCATGCCGCTTTGGCTTTACGCGAGCTTATGAACGTTACCAGTGTCGTGCGACAAGTGCGACATCCGTCAGTCTATCGAGTCTCGCGATGCAGACGTCTGCTGTTAGCCAGGCGAATGTGTTTCGCGTCGATCAATTAATGCGCAAGAAACGCGAGGCTGCATTAGTGCGGCAGGAGGAAGATGAGAATTCGCATGATGCTGAGGTGAAAAGCGGTGACACTCAGGAAGTGGACCGTAGGGTGAGCACGCTGGCCATTCGAAAGCGGACAAACACTAATCGAGGCGGCATAGGAGATACACGATCGTGCCGCGCGTCTAGAAGCTGAACACAACACACTCTGCGCTTCGTTGGGCTCTGCGAATGCGACCATCGCTCGGCTGGCGGCCGCACAAGAATCTTTGTCGGCGTTGCTCGCTTCCGAACAGCGTCAGGTCGAGCTGGTGACAACTGCCCACGAACATCTTGCCGCATCTCGCTATGAACTCGGCCAGGAAGTGGCCATGCTCGAGTCCACGCGGAACAAGCTAACCGTATCTCTGCTAGGAGCGAGAAGAGATGCAAAGAGACTCAGTGACGCGTTTCATGAAGCCTCTCGAGCTCTGCAAGGCGCACGTCGTAAAGTGTCTCGAATGCAAAACGAATGCGAAGGGCTTTCCACTCGGTTTAAGGCGACAGAACAGGGTGCTACCAACGAGCTGGACGAGGTATTCCAACAACAGGAGAAGCTCAAGGCAACGGTGGACACTCTCAAAGCCGACCTCGAGAAAACGAAGAGCAGAGTCTCACGGCTCAATGCAGACCTTTCTACTTGTTCGCAGCAGTTGACGGACGCAAAGCAAGCGCATATAACCGCAGAAACGAAAGCGACTGCCATGCAAGGGATGCTCGCCAAAGCTCGAAGCGACCGCGTTGAAACCCAGATGCAGGCCGAGGCCCTCGCTAATGAATGCAACGAATTTTCCATCTCCGTGCGTGCTTTGGAGAAAGCTAAGGCGTCGCTGGAGGCGAATCTGGCCACGGTCAACGCTGAGCGTGCGACAATGCGCCGGTCGCTTTGTGCAACGAAGAACAACCTTGTCGTCGCGCACGCCATTCTTCGCTCTTATTATGACCAGATCTCTTGTCTTTGTCAGCAGCTCGCAGAGAAAGATGAGCTTGAGACAGCGATTGTTCAGCAAAATCTTGCCGAAGTGAAGGTCCTTGAAGACGCCCTTATTGAGGTACAAGATCGTTCGGATGCCCAGGGGCGAACACTCGAGGATACTAGGTCAGAGCTAGCAGTAGAACGCGAGCGAGCGGATCAAGCGGCCGCTTGTTTGGAGGCCGTCCAGCGCGAAGTCGTTCGGCGGACAGAGCAATACGTGTCCAAGTGCAGCAGCTTGCAACAGGAGATATCCGCGATCACCACCCAGCTCGAATCCGCCAAAACCGCCATTATCAATCGAGACTCCCAGCTTCGGAAGGTGGAGGCCGACCGGGACGTATACTCGGCGCAGGCGAAGCAGGCACTGTCTGTCCTCAGTAGCGTCAAGCGGGCAGCGGCTGAGTCGGAAAAGCAGACAGAGGCGCTGATCGTCAATCTTCGGAAGCAGCTCTTCGAGGCATGCAAAGAGAGAGATCAGTCGAAGGCTACCGTACGAGAGCTCGAGGTGCGCAATGGCGAATTGGCCCGGCGGCTCTCTGTGGAATGCCAGGTGCGCGAAGAGGCACAGGCAGAGTTGGAGAAGGCGCTGGACACATCAAGCAACACATCGACCCAGACATTGGTCGCTAATATCTCCCATGACGCCGATGTGGTCTGTGCGTTGAAGGAGGCGATGAAGGCGTATGTGGAGGTGATCGACGACTGCGACATGTTCTGCCAGCAGATGCATGTCGGTTCTGGGCGGCCGATAACTTCGACACCAACGAGAACGAGAAGATCGAACAAGAGGAAAAAAGCGGTGGGCAGTGAGGTACATTCCTGCGGTCATGTCGTCGTGCGAATGTTGACATCGGAAAGTGTCAGGACGTCCTAAACGCCTCTTCGGATTCCTTCAAGCTTGGCACCGCGTTCGCAGCATAAGTTTCCGCTTATCGCACTCCAAACACGTCTACACACAGATTGTGAGTAATTCATCCGCAGGACCCTACGTTGCTGACGAGTGTTGCAGATATCGTCGCCGAATATATCTCGTTGCCCCCCTTCCGGTGGCAACCGTTTCTTTGTGAACATCCTACATACACCCCTCACATTCCTATGTCCAGCCTTGTTTAATCATTGTCTCATACCCAATGTTGTAGTGTATAGGTCCTGAAGTCTGTTCGACTCATCATGCGTATTATCCGAAGCTCATACACTTCCGCCGTGTTGGCAGGTATGTGCGCAACTATGAGGGCGGCCATCAGCGGACGCATCTGATGCGATGTGGCGTAGGAATATATATCAGTGGGGGCAAAAGCGCGCGACAACTCAGGCGCATACACCCACCACCTCCGGCACCTGCAGCAGCGTACCGGTAGATATGCGGCAGTGTTGTCGCTGCTGCTGCTTTGCCTCAACAATAGGACGTCGCAGGATATTGGCTGGAGCGTTCAAGGCAATGGTGAGGACTAGTGCAGAAAAGATTGTGGATGCGTATGCCAACCTTCTTCTCGTCCTAACCGTGCAGCGATATACGAATCTCGCACCCTCATCGTATTCCGTACGCGATGTCGATGTCTGCACAGGATCGGTTCGCTTTGACAAGCTCGCGTCCGATCGGTGTGTCCAGTCTCGTCCAGATCGGGATCCGTCGTGTTCAACTTCTGTCCAACCACGGCTGACAGTCTCACACCAACTTCAACTTCGTCCACCACCTTCACCCTCACCTTCGTCCCTCGCCACACCTACGCCTCAAGCAATATTTTCTTCCATCAACATCTACACCCTCCGACGTACTTACCATGATTGCCGATACGCCTCTCCTCGCCATGTTCAAGAACTCCCTCCGCAGCTTCGACACCGTCGCTGACATTCGCCCTGTACGTAGTTTCCCTTGTGATGTCCCTTGTCATATCTGACAGTTACTTTCCTAGTACCCTGCGAAGCCAACTGCGCCTCTCACCTTCACCGCCGCACCGGCCCTGCTTCAGCCGGCGACGGTGTTCGAGAACGCCGAGCTGAAGCTCAGGATCCAGTACCTCGAGGCTGCAGCGGCGAAGGCAGAGGATGGCGCGGAACGACTCGGATGTGATCTCTCTGTCAGCCAAGGCCGCGTCGCTGGCCTTGAGGCAGAGAAGCACACGACAGAGGCCAAGATCCACTCCCTGTTTCATGTCCGGGATTCACTGTTGTCCCGCCTAGACAGCGCGTGCGCCAATGCCGGGAAAGCGTATGAGGAATGCGACGAGCTGCGAGAGCTGTGCTACAACGCCGGCAAGGAGCGCAATGACCTTTGAAGGTGCCCTCGAGGTCGCTGAGGCCAAGCTGATGCAGCATCCAGGAAGTGCGACGATCTCCAGCTGATCTC